GTGTTTAGAAGACGGCGCAGCTGATTATACCAACTTTGAAGATCGACTCCTATCATTTCATTCATGGGTAGGAGTTCCATCGGCAGTTGAACTTGCTAATGCTGGATTTTTCTACACGCATAGCGGCGATACGGTGGAATGCTTTTATTGTAAAGTGCGCATTAATAAGTGGGAGGCCTCCGATGTACCCTTAGCTGAGCACCTTCGTTGGTCGTCACGTTGCAGATATGCAAGATTATTAAATCGTATGGCCTGCTTGAAGATTAATGAAACAGAGAAGACCTACTGCGTTTGTGGTTGTAGTCCGGGCGCTCATCTTATTTAATAAAACAATGCGATTTATTTTTTTTATTGTAATTATGGCACATGGTATTGTAAACATTTTAAATAAACATTTTAAATAACTTAGCTTGTTATTGATGATTACAAAGAATTAAGAAAATCTTCCAAACTTTGAATTGCGTTAATATCGCGATGTCTCCATGCCAATGTTCTGCAGGTGCCAGGGATAATGAATCTTTTGTCGTCCGTTGATGATAAGGCTATTTTGTTTGTCATTTCTGTGTACATGGTGTGCAAGTGAGATCGAAAACCGCTCATCTGCTTCATAATCACGCCACCTTCTTCGACTACTTTCTTATAATCTTCCTCTTTTAAGCCGTTCTTTATTACATACTTTTTTACCCCTTTAGCTTTCTTATCTACACGATCACCTACATTGACACAGTATGACTTTGCACCTGCACCGTAAAAACTAGCGATGGGGACACCGCAATATTCATCTTTCATCTTCCCCACAACTGAAATGTTGCGTGGAATACCGTGTACATTATCAAGGGGAAATTTAGATGTGTCATATCTATCCAAATATAATTTCATGTCATCATAGAAATTATTAGTAAAAATCTCCAATATAAGGGAATCGGTGTCTGTATACAACAAAGATACTTTATCTTGATATAATGGTTTTAGAAAATCGTAAAAGAACTCGTACATAACTGTTTTGGATAAATCTAAAATTGAAAAACCAACATACACCGGTTTGTTGTACTTTACGGATACCTTGGACATTTCAATTGCCACGAGATTTTCAGAGAACACCGATAAATTTTTAAAATTTGGTTTAGATATGTGCCCCTCAGCTCCAGGCTTCTTACCGATCCTCTCCCAGTGACTTACAAGTGCAACGTTAACTCGTTTGTCAACGTTTTCCATAGTTTTACCATAAATGCTGTTATTCATAGTTTTTATAGTGTCACGGCCCGATTCGCTAGTTTCACGATTACGCAGTTCCGTATTTAGATCAATATATGATTTTAACCAAGGCGATTGCATAAATTTAACCCCGCGATGAATATTTTTTAAAATTAATCCGTGTTGCAGGCATTGTCTTAGCATTCTATAATGTAAAACGTATTTTTCCTTATGATTTAAATTTGGAATTAGTTTCTTATACTTTGACCTTGAATTTGGCGGGGTTATAGATTCGGGGCAATAGGGCATGTCATTTTGCAAATTGTGGAGGGCCTCAGGGTACAGTAGATCAACTTCTAAGACATACCCGATCGGTGACTCATCTGATATTTCGAAAACATTAAAATTTTGAATTTCTTCGGGTGTGAGCCAAGCAAAGTCACTTTGTGGGATAAATTGTGTTTGGGAATGGCCATAAAGATTGCATGCATCCAGATAAATAATAAATGAGCTTGGTTTGGAAGGATCGTAATTGGGAAGAAATTTATTGTTAGCGATTGCTTTGCGTTTGGTGCACGTACTGACGCCGCCTCGAATACCACGTTTAAAAAAATGAAGCATGTCAATATCTGTCAGTAATTCTAATTCCACATCCGTCTTTTTTAACATAGCGTCCCAGCTAAGGCTAGGACCGGTCAGATATTGGGCAGCGTCAATTTCGTACTCGCGTAAACACACGCCTCTGTAGTTTTCAAATATATCGGCCAATAAAAGCACGTCAGATTTTAAATAAATGTCCGAGTATTCGCCCAACGTCTGGCAATTAAATAAATTCCAAACTTCCTGAGCACGTCTGTATTCTTCATCGGTAATGTCCTGCTCGTGCAACATATCAAAGAAATCGCTTTTATTGGGGATCGTAGTTAGATTAAGCTTATCGTATGAGTCTACAAACGAATACGGAAAAACACCTTTTTGTCGAATTAATTCAAATTCACGTCCAGATCCAAAAAATTTTGTAATTTCAGTGCACTCGCTATCACTCAAATTTTTAGCAAGAACATTTAATGAACTGGCCAGAAAACGAAAACTATCGACGAAACGTATTCTCCATATTAGGTTTTTTGGAACTCCGTTCTCCACGATTTGATCTACTACAATATGCTTCGAAAAAGAAATGTATTTTTCCTTATTTCCGGCAATAACGTCTATATTTTCATTCTCTAAAGCCAGGGATTTAACGAAAAGATGGCTGTCGTACCCGGTCAAATTGTGGAAAAATACAGGGATAAAATTTGGATTTTGAAGCTGTAAATTACATATAGAATGACATAATCCGGCCCTGACGAAAGAAGTCTGATGGTCGTGGTCGATCACTTTTACATCTCCCTCAACAAAAGGTTTCTCACAAATCCCACAACTTGTGGCAAGATTAATTTGTCTCCGTTCCTCTTCTGTTAAAATTTGTAAAGGTTTACTTTGCTTAAAATGTTGATTGTATATGGTTAGAATATCATTCTGTAGCATATTTATAAACTGCACTGGGGCATTGGCACCTCGATAAATTTGAAACTTTGAAAATTTATCATCAAAAGAACATTTAATATAATACGCGAACGAATATGGTTCGTGCTCAAATGTTTTGGTAGTAAATTGAAGAAGAGGATTCGGTTGAGGTCCTTCTATGGGCTTAAGCAACGATTCGAAATCCGCATAGACAACAAACGGGGGTTTGATTTTATTTTGGTAATTATTAAATTTAAGTCGATTATCAAATGACGGCTGGCCCCACTTTGTCAAGATAGGTTCCTTTGTAGGCAAAAATGTACAAACATAATTACAATCGAATCTAGAATGGCGCCACAGGTTTTCCTGACTTGTAAAATATTGCAAGCATCCGTCACATAGATAAATAGCTTCTTTGTGCTTGGACACTTGCATGGAAATTAATCGCGACATATTAGAAATGTAGCAGTAGTGACTGTTGCCATCTAAATTAGACAAGTATAAAAGATTTACATGCACGGCTTTCTTTTGTTTGGTATAATGTAAAGGACCTACTACTTTATATGTCATTTTACCTTGTTTCTGTGTGTCCTCCTCTAAACCGTAAACGTTAATGGACAAGGGATTCATTTCTTCAAATTTTGATATCGCATCTAATTTTACCGGGAACGTTATTCCTTCAAAATTGAACTTTTCTAAATAGTCCGGATACGAATCCGGTTCGCAGGGATGTCCAGTTGGAGTATAAATAGCTGCAACTAGCGCCCATCCAAAACATCCGAAAACCTCGTTCTTTACATTAATAATGGCTCTTTTGCGTGAGATAAATGCAGGGGTCGGTATGAATGAAGAAGCTCGTAGCGGGTTATATTTATTAATGTTCACTTCCATATATAACCAGTGCTGAAGAGCCCATCCTAGAACAAATAATTATGTAAACATGGCATAAACAATTGGATATTAATACCTGACTCGCGATGTTCAAATTCCGTTGCGTCAACTTCCAGTTTTTCGATGATATCCTTAAACCATTCACTTAAGTCGGAACTTATCGTCAATACTTGGTTACGAGTATTAAAAGACTTAACTTCTCCTCGATCCTTCGATTCCAAAATAAAATAACCAAACAGCTCGCAGTTCACCTTAACGCTACCCATGATATCAATTTGCTCACGAACTAATTTTTTTATTACGTCAGCCAACGATTCGACAAATTCCTTCAGATTAATGTA